GCGGACCTACAACGACCTGTCTCAGTACCCTGTGGTGAGGACCCCTGCCTGCCTCTGCCAGCCTGCTCAGCTTCTGTTCCCCGGGGGCTGAGTCCCAAGCTGGGTCCTGACCAGCTGTGCCCTGAACCCCCCAGTGCTGTTCCCTGCCGATGCACACCCCGCCCTGCTGGTCCGGGTTCCTGTTCCCCCCAAAAGAACATTTCATACCCTGCCCAGAACAGTCTCTCCTCCGCTGCAGTCTGCCTTCCCCATGGTGCCCCCAGCCTGTGAGCAGGTTCTGTGCCCATCTGTTGGTGAGGGCAGGGCACGATGGGCAGGCAGGACCCTCATGTGCCCCCTTCCGTGGGCGGCCAGTTCCCCTGGGTCTTACAGGACTACGTGTCCCCGACCCTGGACCTCAGCAACCCGGCTGTCTTCCGGGACCTGTCCAAACCCATCGGTGTGGTGAACCCCAAGCATGCCCAGCTCGTGCGGGAGAAGTGAGCATGTGGGCAGGGAGGGCTTATCGGGGTGGGGATGGGGAGGGGAGATGCTGATGCTGATGCCCCCTGCCCATGGCCCCAGGTATGAGAGCTTCGAGGACCCTGCTGGCACGATCGACAAATTCCACTATGGCACCCACTACTCCAATGCAGCAGGTGTCATGCACTACCTCATCCGCGTGGAGCCCTTTACCTCCCTGCATGTCCAGCTGCAGAGTGGCCGGTGCGCTGGGGGTGCCAGCCAGGGGAGGCCCTGCCCTTCCCCCATCCTGCTTCTCTCTGTCTCCTCACCTTGGCTTGGGCTCCATCCGCCAGCTTTGACTGCTCCGATCGGCAGTTCCACTCTGTGGCCGCCGCCTGGCAGGCACGCATGGAGAGCCCGGCCGACGTCAAGGAGCTCATCCCTGAGTTCTTCTACTTCCCGGACTTCCTGGAGAACCAGAATGGTAACACACGGACGGATGCTGGCTGCCGCGCGGGTGCAGAACCCGGGCTGGCCTGTCTGAGGGGTGCAGAAAGAGTGCACCACTGACCCGGGTCTCTGCTAGGCTTCGACCTGGGCTGCCTGCAGCTGAACAACGAGAAGGTGGGCGACGTAGTGCTGCCCCCATGGGCCAGCTCTCCTGAAGACTTCATCCAGCAGCACCGCCAGGCTCTGGTGAGGAGGTGACCACTCACAGACTGGGGATGGCCAGGGCAGGGGTCACAGCAGGGAGGTTCCTCTGTGCCAGCACTGAAGGCCCCCTCATACCCCTAGGAGTCAGAGTATGTGTCTGCCCATCTACATGAGTGGATCGACCTCATCTTTGGCTACAAGCAGCGAGGGCCGGCAGCCGAAAAGGCCCTCAACGTCTTCTACTACTGCACCTATGAGGGTGGGCACACATGGGGGCTGGGGTGCAGATGTGGGGGGGGGGCCTCAGTGGGCACAGACAGAGTCCTCGCCGCTCTCCTCCCTCCCAGGGGCCGTGGACCTAGACCACGTGGCGGATGCACGCGAACGCAAGGCCCTGGAGGGCATCATCAGCAACTTTGGGCAGACTCCCTGCCAATTGCTGAAGGTAGGATCAGCCTGGGGGACAGTGGTCACAGTGCCCAGACCCTGGTGCTGACTCGTCACATGTCTGCAGGAGCCACATCCACCCCGGCTGTCGGCTGAGGAAGCTGCCCAGCGCCTGGCCCGTCTGGACATTAACACCCCCAGCCTTTTCCAGCACTTGGACCAGCTCAAGGCCTTCTTTGCGGAGGTGAGAGGAGGGCAAGGCCTCAGCTTCCTTTGAGTGGAGCAGGTTGAGTCCCACTGACCTCACCCACCACATGGGGCATCCTGATGGAAAGGCACCTTGGAGTCTGAGCTGGACCCAGGAAGAATATGGAGGCAGGAGGGAAAGCCGCCTTTCTGAGAGCCAGGACATGCTGTAGATTCACCTGAGTCTCAGAAGGCCTTAGGGAGGTGAGGATGGAGGGGCTGTGGCCTTGGACACCTCCCTGCCTGCATCCTCAAGTGTTGCTCCCAGGCCTGACGTCTTTAGAGTCCTCTCTTTCTGGGCCAAGGGGATGTGGGGTAACGAGGCAGGAAAATCAAGGTGAGGCTAAGCATGGTCCACTGGAAGGACCTTCTGCGTCCATCCCAGCCTCACGATCACTTTCAGAGATGACACCCCACCCCTCGCATACCCACTGACTCTTGTGCCCGTTTCTCAGAGGCACCTCTGGGATGCTTAGTCTTGCTGCCTAGTGGCAGAGGGCAGGGAAGGGATGGTGCCCCAGAAAGCAGACTGCTGGCACTTGGCACTACCAGCCTTGTACTCCTCTCTTTTTTCCCAGCTTGCACTTGTCCCCACAGGTGGTCAGTGACAACGTGCCCCTCGTGCTGGCCCTGGTCCCCCACCGGCAGCCCCATTCCTTCATCACCCAGGGCTCACCAGACCTGTTGGTAGGTGCAGTGGTCAGGGCCCCCACCTCCACTCCATCCCCTCTCTAGCTCTGCCCCAAATCCACCTGTGCCCCACTTTGCCTGCAGGTGACCGTGAGTGCCAACGGGCTGCTGGGCACCCACAACTGGTTGCCCTATGACCGAAACATAAACAACTACTTCAGCTTCAGCAAAGATCCCACCATAGGCAACCCCAAGTAGGACACTGGGCTGGGCTGGATAGGGGTGGGCTGTAAATGCAGGCTGTCACCTGGCAGCAGGATCACCCAGAGCCTGGGTTTCTGCTCTGTGGCCTGGCTTCACCTACTTGCCTTTCTTTGGGTCAGGATGCAGAGACTGCTGAGTGGCCCGTGGGTACCAGGCAGTGGTGTGAGTGGGCAAGCCCTGGCAGTGGCCCCTGATGGAAAGCTGCTCTTCAGCGGTGGCCACTGGGACGGCAGCCTGCGGGTGACAGCACTGCCCCGTGGCAAGCTGTTGAACCAGTTCAGCTGCCACCTTGGTACGAGCAGCCTTGACACTGGGGAGTGGGCATGCAAGGGGCAGGGTGGGTCCACAGGACAGCCTGGGAGGATGTGACCATGGTATCCTGCCCTCCCTGTGCAGATGTAGTGACCTGCCTAGCACTGGATACCTGTGGCATCTACCTCATCTCAGGCTCCCGGGACACCACGTGTATGGTGTGGCGGCTTCTGCAGCAGGTACACCTGGTGGGCAACCCTGTGGGGTCTGGGAACCCGGGCCTCCAGCCCACCTGCCCTGTACCCACTCCCTCCACTACTGTGAACCAGCTCAGGGCTCTTTGGCTGGGAAACGGCCTTCTCTTTCCTGAGCCTCAGCCTTCTCCTCCGGGCCCAGCCCTAAGCCAGCCCTGGTTCCCACAGGGTGGTCTATCCATAGGGCTGGCACCAAAGCCCGTGCAGGTCCTATACGGGCACGAGGCTGCAGTGAGCTGCGTGGCCATCAGCACGGAATTGGACATGGCTGTGTCTGGATCTGAGGTGCGTATACATATGCGCCCAGGGGTGGTTGGGTTCACTGGATACCATCCCTGGAGCCCACAGTGAACCTGTCCTTCCACAGGATGGAACTGTGATCATACACACTGTACGCCGGGGCCAGTTTGTGGCAGCACTACAGCCTCCAGGGGCTGCACTTCCTGGACCTGTGTCCCACCTAGCACTGGGGTCTGAAGGGCAGATCGTGGTCCAGAGCTCAACTCGGGAACGCCCAGGAGCCCAGGTAAGGGGAAGGAACATCTAGCAGGTAGCAGGTCAGATTTGGAGGGTCAGTTGCTGACATGCCTGTCTTCCTCCAGGTCACCCACACCTTGTACTCATACTCTGTGAATGGGAAGTTACAAGCTTCGCTGCCCCTGGCAGAGCAGCCCACAGCCCTGGCAGTGACGGAAGACTTTGTTTTGCTGGGCACTGCCCAGTGCACCCTGCACATCCTGCACTTGAACAAGTGAGCCCCACCTTGTGTGCATGCATGGTCCCTCAATGTGGTGGCCACTGGCAGAGAACAGGAGTGCCCCCCCATGGATCCATGTACTGTGCATTCCAGCTCGCCTCATTATTCATGCGGAGCTCTTGCCGCGGGCCCCTCTCAGCCATGCAGCTGCAGGAAATCTCTTTATGTCTGAGGGTTTCCACTGATAGGCTGGGGGAAGGGGTATAGAGGATGAGTAAGCCACATCTGGCTGCTAAGTGAGTCCCCTCAGAGTAATGAACTCCTTGCACCCCTCCCCTGCTCTAGACTGCTTCCAGCCGCGCCCCCGCTGCCCATGAAGGTGCCCATCCGCAGCGTGGCGGTGACAAAGGAGCGCAGTCACGTGCTGGTGGGCCTGGAGGACGGCAAGCTGATTGTGGTGGGCGCAGGGCAGCCCTCCGAGGTGAGGATCTGGTCGGGGAAGCGGGCTGGAACCCGCAGGGGGCCTCGCACTTGGCTCTCACCCCTGCCCCTGCTACCCCGATCAGGTGCGCAGCGGCCAGTTCGCGCGGAAGCTGTGGCGGTCCTCGCGGCGCATCTCCCAGGTGTCCTCAGGGGAAACCGAGTACAACCCTTGTGAAGCGCGCTGAGCGCGCCCACGCGGCTACTCAAGCCCCGCCCCAGGACTCGGGCTCCGCCCTGCTGATAGGTCCCGCCCCTCCGGGCCGCGCCGGTGGAGTCGCCGGAAGTCCCGCGCCTTGCAGGCTGAGGGCGGGAGACCCAGGATCGGTCGGTCTTCGTGGCTGGGGCGGCGCATTTTGCACAGTCTGGGCCAGGACCCCGCAGCTCCCGAGTTCGGGTCCCCTGGCGAAGCACAGGACCGTTCGTGGCCTTAACCCCCCAAGGCGGTCCCCGCTTGCCCGTCTAGAGCAATAAAACTGGCCTAGTTTTGTAGCCGGTCCGTCTCCGAGTATGCGCGCATCCGGCGTCTCCCATCTCAGCGACCGTGGGGCCTCTGTTTACCCAGCTGTGCCGCCCTCGCCCCTGGGGTCCCACCACCATCTCGTGGTGGCTTCCTCCAGCTGGGATTGCCTTCTTGCGCTCGGCGGGGCGGTGGCGAGGCCTCTCTCTGCCTCGGCCCCGCCCCTGCATTGTCCTGCCCCAATTTCCGTCGACCCCACGGCCTACCCGGGTAGCCGCCGCTCCTTTATGTAGTTCGGGGGCACCGAGATCTGACCTCTTCGGGATTCCCGCCGGCCTCCTGCTTCCCAGGGCAGCCCGCCCGCCCGGTGGATCCTGGCACCTTCAGAGGGGTGCGCGGCAGGTCAGGAGCGATGGGTTGCAGAAAGTGCCTGGTGGTGTTGGGGAGAGAGAGCCAGGACTGCCCGCGTTGAGCCCCGCCGTTCCTGCCGGTGCCTGCGTCTGATAAGGGTCCGCGTGAGAAGTCAGGGTAGCGTGAGGGTGCGCGGCCGTTTCGTTGTTGGTGCGTGTTTTATGGGTTTGGAGATGAGTGGGTAGGTGGGGAGACGTTCCTATCCGGCAGCTCCTAGTGGGTGGTGTGGATGCCAGACCTGCCTGCCGCCGAGCTTCCACAGGCCCACGCACCATCTAGGATCCCCAGAAGGGCCTCCATGTGGTAAGTGACAAACGTGCATACTTCACGGTGGAAAGGGCCACAGCAGCCCTCATCCCAGACCTCCTTGGCCACGGCGCTGCCCTAGATGTGCTCTTTCTTCCCTAGACCTCGAGAAGCAGTAGGTACCAAGCCATTCAGTTCTTAGGGACTTGCGGGGTCCTGTTCTCCAGGTTTCAGGTCTTTGAATTCCCTGATAAGAAAGAACCGACCCAAGCCCTAGGCTCACCCAGCCATTGACCTGGAGGAAGGGCTAGAGCCTGCATAGTCACTGCTGCCTTGGGACCTTGGCATTTGGGTTCAGAGGCCTAGGCCGAAGCATCTGGGGTGAGCCTCTCACCGCTTGCGATTCTCCTTAACCTCTCTTTCCATCCAGCGCTCATACCAGGTGTTTGCCAACATCTTTTGAGACAGGGTGGTTTCCAACCTGTTCTTTCCGTCCTGGACTGCATCCTGACGTCCAGCTTTGGCCATCTAGGGCCACCAGCCCTGTCACCTCCACCCCAGCTCACACAGAAGAAAACAGGTGCCACCCTGGAGTCCATTGGATGGAATGAGTGAGAGGGACATTTCGGGACTTCTGACATCAGGCCTGGGGAGCAACGCACCCCTGCGTCCCCCTTCCCCACTTTAAGGAGCAGCCTCTTGGCTCCCTGGCTGGGTGCTGTCCTCCGCACCCCAAAGCCTACTCAGAGAAACAGCCCTAGGACGCCCTGCCTGCCATCTGGCCATGCTTTACAACTCCAGCCACAGCAGAGGCGTGGCCTCCGTAGGTGAGCCTTGCACCCCAGATGGAGCTACCCCTTGGCTGGATCGTATACACACTGCTCGTTTACGTTGCCTTAGGCCTCAGTGCACACTGGATTAGTAGAGAACCAGGAGAGAGCCACAGCATTTACTTCCCTTCCAGTTCGCCTTTGTCTTGCAATAACCTGCGAGACCTTCTGTGTGTGGAGTACTCCAGTGTGAATCACTAACACTCACGCTGCAGACAGGGAGGCAGTATAACTGGAGCCAGAAAGATCAGGGAAGGTTTCCAGAGTAAGAGATGGGCCCTGGCTTGGCAGAGAAGGTAGAGTAGCAAGAAAGGTCTGGAAGCTCGAGTGAGCAGGTTGCATCAGGGAAGGGCTGGGTGTCAGAGTGGCAAAGGCAAGGCTGTGGCTAGGGTCCGAGAGGGGCCAGTCAGCATCTGATGCCACATGAGAGGATTCTGACTGTGCGGTCTGCATGGACAATCATGGTTGCTTAGGCAGCATGGTCCGGGTGAGGCTGTCAGAGACCTGCCTTGTGCCTTATTCCTGACCCGTCTGTCCTTTCCTCCACAGATAATGCCCTGAAGGGGCAAGACAGAGACAGGGAAGGAGTATGGACAAGAGCCGGGGGAGCTCTGGCCCCCAATACCTCCTTCTCATTCCCTCCTGAGCCTCCAGGAGCCTCGGGCAGCATCATTCCGGTCTATTGTGCCCTCCTGGCCACTGTGGTCCTTGGTCTCCTTGGCTACGTGGCCTTCAAATGGTAGGTATCCTGGCACAGCCCCCCTCTGTGTCTAGATCCCTGGAAAGCTCCTTGCCTTGGTGATGGTGGGAGCAGACTGGCAATACCCCTGCTCCCCACAGCTGGCGCTCACATCAGCAAAGACAGCAGCTGGCCAAAGCCAGGACTGCAGAGCTGGGGGCCCTCAGCAGGGACCAGAGGCTTGGCGACAGCAGCGTCTTCATGGACTTGCCTAGTGGTCTAGAGTCCTGTGTCTCCAGCCAGGGTGAGCCCCTCTCCTCACACTAGCTCTGAGGGTCCCCTTGGGTCCCCCACCCCTCACACCCTTCATGTCTACCCCAGGACCACACACTGACCTCGGCTGCAGACTTTACCTTCACCTCCTGAGACAGCAGCAGGAGGAGGTGGAGCGGCTCCTAGAGGTGTCAGTCGAACCTGACAAGGGCTGGCGGGGCTTAGCAGCTCGCCTTGGGTACCAGGCTAATGCTGTAGAGACCATGGCCCTGGGCCAGGTTCCAGCCTATAACCTGCTGAGGGACTGGGCCACCCAAGAGGGCAACAGGGCTACCCTCAGTGTATTACAGGATGCCCTGGCTGCCATGGGCCGGGAAGATGTGATTCATGTTCTGGGAACCCCCGGGGAGGGCTACTCTGTGGTGTGACATCTCGCAGCCTGCTCTGTGCTCCCCACCACCCCTGCTTCCCCACACAGCTTCCCCTTCGGGGTTTCTAGCATTGCAGGCTATGGGTTGCATAGTTGGAGGGAGGGGCACGGGACCCAGCAGCAACTCAAGTCTCTTGTGCTTCCCTCCTAGAAAGTGACCAGGATAGTGGAAATGGGGGGAGCAGGCCGTGAGGCGGGGGTCCTGCCCTCCCAATCCCACACCGCCTGCCTCCCCTTATCTAGGTGCAACTCTTTTTCTACTTTTGTATCGTATATTAAAGGTGTCTTTGGATTTTTGTGGTGGCTCTATCTGGCTTCCTGGGCTTGTGTGAGTTATGACGCAGAGGTCCAGAAAAGGGCTGGGGTGCCAGACACCATAGTGTGCACCTGCAGCTCCAGCAACTTGGAGGCTGAGGAAGGAGGCTTACATGTAAGAGGCCAGCCTGGGCAGCTTGGTGAGAACCTGTGTGGAAGACCCACTCCTAGAGTGGCTTGGAGGCACAGGTCACAGTTCCCATCTGGCCCCTGCCCTTCCCTGGCTGGATCACATTGAGTGGCTCTTCGGGACATGATCATAGACTGGGGGCTATTTGAGACTGTTCTCTAGCTCTGTGGTGTAGCTGGGTGGGGAGCTAGTGACTGAGGCTTGCAGGTCACCTCTGGACCAGGAAAAGAAAGGACTGTCTCTGGGAGAACACAACTGTGTTCAGGAGAGTGTAGGCTCCGGAGCCGCTCGGGCAGGGCAGGGCAGGGCAGGGCACAGGAGCAGGTAGGTTGTTACTGTGCCCCCGGGGGTGGAGCTGAGATGGGTGGTGCTGCCCTCACCTAGGAGCTCTGAGCAGCTACCATCACCTGAGTCCCAGGTGTGGTCACTTACAAGGGGTGCTTAACACTATCCGTCCCTCACACAAGGGCAGGCAGTTTAGAGCCCACCTTCCCTTAGATGGCCCTTAGGCCGTAACCCTGCAGGACCAAGAGGAGGTGCAAGCCCGCCTGCTAGGGAGCCACACTTCTGCTTGAGCAGGGAGTCAGCACCGGCTGCCGAGGGGTGGGTCAGCAGTGAGGACAAAGCTCCATAAGGAGTGGTGTGTGCTGGCGCACTCTGTCCCAAAGGTGGGGGCTTTAAGCTTGAAGGGACACAGGAGAAAGACTGAGAAGACTCAACAGAGGTATCAAAAAACTGAGAATTCCCTCACACGTGTCCTAGTTGAAGAGTGACAGTGCCCTGGGGACCACCATTTAAGTACCTTGGAAAACCTACAACCTGGAGCCTTGGGTCAAAACCCTGGGTCTGATTTAGTTGTGAGCTGCAGTGCATGTGGCCGCACCCATGAGCTGCAGCTGCAAACCCACCCAGAAGAGGAATGCTTAGGCGCAGTGGCAGGCACCACCAGGAAACGTCCAGAGGGTGGATTCTGTGCTCCCAGCAGTGGGAAACACAGCCCTCCTGTGTCCGTGAGTTCCACATCCCCGGATTTAACCAATGTGACATAGTATTTACTGTGTGTTAGGCACTATGAATAGTCTAGAGAGGACATAATGTCCAGGGGAGATCATGTGAGATTATAGGCAGATACTGTGTCATTTAAGGAACCTGTGTACCCAGATTTTGGTGTCCAGTGGAGTCCTGGAGCCAATCTCCCACAAACACCAAAGAAATACCATATTGTTAAGCAGCACGTATTACTACCATAAAACAAGGATTTCTGTCCATGTTTGAGAGTTACTGTAATACTAGAATTGTAAACGAGTTATTTATCCCTCCTGAGCCTGTTTCCTCAAGGACAAGGCCAATTCCTGTGCCTCGGGGTGGATAAGGATGATGCAACCTCAGTTTGAGCCCTCAAATGATCAGCATGGTGTCTGGCAGTCCGTGCTTTATTTCGGCTCAAGATGTTGCAGCCACTGAGTAGAGTCACCTTGGTGAGGAGAGGTGGGCCCCTCTCACTGCCCAGACAATAACAGGCAGAGAGGGGCCAACCGCCGTATGATGTCCACTGTCACCATCTGTGTGCAGGCCCTGAGGTCCTCTCTGCCAGCCACACACTGTCCTGGTGTCCACAGGCACAGTGGGCAGTCGGCACCCAAACGTGGAATGAATGTCCAGTGATCGGGGGAAAATCGCACCTCTAGAGGGAAGAGGTCCTCTGGGGGAGGTATCAGTAGTCCAATTTGCCTTTCCTGACAGACCCACTAACCAAAGCAGCTCCTCTGGTGAGGCCTTGGGTCATACTTGTGCTCTGGAATGCCTGGGCAAGCTGACCCAGTCCAACTGCAGCAACAAAACCCCAGGCCCAAGATGTCAGCCTCTGGACGGCTGTCAGCTTCACCTGCTGCAGGACTGTGGGGAACAAGGCTCCTAATAAAACCCAATAGCGAGGGTCAACCATGAACTTCACATAGCAGCTGCTGTCTCTTTCCAGTCACATTACTACACACAACATGCTCGATTAATTTAAACAGAACATACATGCCAAGTTCTTTAATTCATTTTATTTTTTACATAAAAAGTTCAGTAAAAATTGGATAAAGTAAAGTGATTTTAAGCAGTAAATCAATCTTATCAACAGAGCACAGGGCTGGCCAAAACCACAAGGCAGCCTGCTTTGGAATATTTACATGATAACGAATTAAACCTTGCAGGAGAACTTAAACCGTCCTTACAAAGTCTTTCTGTGATCCTAGCACATAGAGGCTAAAAGCAAAACAACAAACAAACAAAAACCAGGAAAAAACAAATTATTTTCAATATATTCACATATACATTAAAATATAATACAGATCGTAGGGAAAAGGGTCTCGGGTGGGGACGCGCATGGGTCTGTGCGCTGACAGCACCGCCAAGGAGGAGACCCAAGTTTAAAGGTGGGGTTGGGTCAAGCTGGCCACGGCCTTCCCTGGCCATTGCCCCTGATAGCCTCTACTAACCGCACCCTGACAGTTGCAAAACTAGGGGTCAATGGCAGATGGAGCTCATTCTGTGGCTTTCAGTTGACATCTGCAGGTTTGCGTTCCCTTGGTGAAGACGCATCAGTAGCACAGCCCCAGCAGGGGGTGGGGGTGGGACAGAGGCCCACTGGAATTTCTTCTCCCAGAGTCTGGCCTTCTGATAGCCCATCCCCCACCCTGGCCCCACTGGTCACTCTAACTCCGTGTCCTCTTTGGGTTTGTACACAGCCCCAAACTTCTGCATGTACTTCTTTATGTACTCCTTGGTTTTGTGTTTCACATTCTCATTGCACTCCAGATCCTCGGGGTTCTTACAGTACTTCAGCTCCTTGTTCATGACGCCGTGAGTCAGCTGTCCAGGGCAAGGAAGAGACCACAGCTTCCATCAGAGTGGAAATGATGTGAGGGGAGAACCCCCCAGCCCAGTGCTTCCGGGCTTACCCTGAGACTGGGAGTTGGATGATGGGACGGATTGGAGTGGCTTGTGGCTGGGACCACCACAGACTCAGTGCTTAAGCTTTCTTAAAGAACTATTGCCCTCAAGGAGGTACCCCCTACCCCCAGCCCTGGTATCTGGGCAGTAAAACATTTCCTATGACGAAGGGGCCATCCTATAAGGAACACAGGGTTGTCACAACACCAAAAGATCACAGGCAGTGGAGTACCTTTCGAGCCAGGTGTTTGAAATCCTCAGTTGTGGTGATTCTGCCTACTTTGCAGTCAGGTTTCCGATAAGGGTTCAGGCACTGGACGATGAACTGAGACATCTGCAGGCAGAGGAAAGGGCACACTGTGGTACAGAGCAGCCAAGGGCTGTGCTAAGGGAGCACTGAGAAGGGCAGCAAGCATGGCTGGCCAGCACACCCCTCTTCTTCCCTCAGGACAGCTGGCCCCAACAGTGGAGTGCTAGCAGGCCAGTAAGGCCAAGAGGAGAAGACCGGCTCTGCCCAAAGAGGGATGGTGTTCTCTTAGATGGACCGAGGAACCCTGCCACAAGACTCACCATGGCCTCCGCTTTTAGCCACCTCAGTGTCCCTTGGCACAGGAGACAAGAGCTAGGTTCCATGGCCCTCAGAGGCAGGAGAGGTACTCCAAAGCTACAAGGAGCCTTTGGAAGTCCAACAGCCCCTGGTATACTGTCCTCAAAGGCCACTGAGAGTCTGGAATGGTTACCCTTTATCTGGTCCATATCACAGCCACGTGCAGCTGATGAAAAATGGTATGACAGCCAGACTAAGACAACCAATGGCAAGACCTTTTTCTTCCCATTGCTGCCAGGGTTCTCCCCTGGGCCATCTCTGGAAGGTTTATCCTACCCAGTGGCTCTCCAAAGAGAGTATGGACATCCGGAAGTACTGTACTTATGAAGTATGTGAGATCACAGGGAAGGGGCGGGGAAATAGCTCAGTGGCACATCACCTGCCCGGCAAGCACAAAGTCCTAAGTTTGATTCTTTGTACCAAAAAGAAAATAATCACATGGGACAAAGGGAACAAAGAGGCCAGTGAAAGCTACTTTGCCACTGAACTTTCCGACATTGAAAGAACAAGACTGAGATGGGCACAGTGGGATATACCTGTGATACTAGTGCTGAGCAAAGCCAAGGGCAGAAGGAGATCGCAAGTTCCAGTCCCCTGTGGACGACTTTGAGTCCCTGCCTCAAAACATTAGGAGAGCTGAGGGTGTAGTTCAATGGCAGAACACTCCTGATTGTTTGATTCCCAGGACCACCCTTCATCTCCCACCCTAAAAAAGGCTGGAAGGCTGCCCTTTCTCAATCCTTTGAGTAGGCAGCCACAAATGGGACATTCAAGAATGCTTACACAGTTGTAAAGGCCCATCCCAACGTGCTGTCACATACCACTGCACCGTCAGATCAAAGAGGGAAGGAAGCACCTAAAGCGAAGACAGCCTATCCTACATCCAGCTCTCCTTTGCCTTAGAGGCTGTGACGGCTGACAGTAACACAGGGCAATGTGGTCTGAGAGGAGATCCTGTCAAGTCGGTAAGAAGTGGCTGAGGGTTCCTCAATGGGAAAAGCAGCACTTATGCAAGACATACAAGATAAGCTTTATGTTCGTGCCCATCTTGGGGCAAGGAAAATTTGCAGATTTAAAACAAGGAAGGGCAGGGCTCTACCAAACCTTACCTCTTTCCTGAATACTTCTTTGCTTTTCTTAGCCAGCTCACTAGAGGTGTCTGCTTCTGCTGTCTTGGGCTTTTTTGATGTCTAGAAGTGGAAAAATAGTGCTAACATGAGGAATCAGTTTAGCAATGCCCTACTATTCCCAAAATGCCCCTCACCAACCCCCTTCTTTTTTTAGACAGGGTCTCTCTATGCAG